CCGCGTCGGCACGCCCCTTGCTGGTTTGGCCACCAGTGAGCTGAAACGCGGTGCTCCCGTCAGTGGCGTGTCCTGATGAGGACGGAAGCTGGTAAAACAGAAATTGACGTACCTGTACTTCGACTGTGTAGCACAGGGTCCATCGTCGGCGACACCATGGGGGCCATGGTATCGTGGACACCATCGGCTACTTCAACATCGAATCTGATAACCTTCCTTACAACTCGCTTAATAAAGGTCTCAGGGTGACTGGTGGTCTCTTGACCTGGCAAGTGTGTGTGTGTGTGTCTGTGTGCAGGGGCGTGCGGGGGCGTACGTACGTGCGTGCGTGCGTGCGTGCGTGCGTGCGCGCGCGTGTGTGTGTGTGTGTGTGTGTGTGTGTGTGTGTGTGTGTGTGTGTGTCTGTGTGTGTGTCGCTCCCTCGGGCGAAAGAATGGCAAGACCGTCCAGCCTCCGCTCGCGCAGCGCAGCTGGCGGCAGGCGATCCCTCCTGGAAGGCCACCCCGCACTGGCACTGCTGCGGTTCCGTTGCGCCTCCTTCTCCTCCCACCCCTGCCGGAAGGAGACCAGTCGAGACAACGACGGCCGTCCCGCCTGGCCCACATCCGCTCCAAATGGGTTCCCAGACCCCTCCCAGGGTCCATCCTGACCCGCTTTCCGACACGGATCTGGCCGTGGCACTGCCAAGCGCTCCCAGGCGAGGCGCTCGCAGGCGCCCCTAGGAGGGCCCAGACGCCCACAGGCGCTCCCAGGCGCTCCCAGGAGGGTCGGAGGTGCTTTAAGTCCAGGCGCGTCCAGGCGCTCAGCCTCCAGGGGCCCAACGAAAACGAAGAGCGCCAAGGAGGGTCGCCGTGGTCCCGACTGGCCCTCCATCGAGATTCGCCCCCCTCGCGAGCCCAAAATGGACGACCTCGACCGCGTCGCTGAACCAAACGCACGCGCTTTGCGACGCGCAGCCAACCGTGGCGGTGAGAACCCTCCAGAAGGCCCGACGGGACGAAAAACGCCACGGAGGGCCGCCGCGGTCTCGAGTGGCCCTCCTCCGACCCCGGTCGCTGTCCTGCGAGCTCGACGCGCACTGCGTGGCCGCACGCTCAGCAGGTTAGCTCCCCTCTGCGCGGCAGGCCTTGGGGGTCCCAGAACTGTGGTGACGTACCGCGCGGTGACCTCGGAATCCTGGAAGACCTCCCTGCACGGCCCCCGAATCTCCGACGATACGATACGTTCCATCCTGGCGAAATTCCTCGATTTCGGCCTCCGGGTCGCTATCGGGCCTCAAGACACGCAACAAGTGATCCAGGGCGCAGAACTACACTCCCGGAAGGGGTCTTGTCTGGGCCTCTGGGGCCGCGGATCGAACAGAATCCCTCCGGAAGATGCCAGGGTCCGTCACCACATGGTCTTGAGACCTCGGAGGCCGCGGTCACCCGAGAGGTCCTCGGAGAACGGCCCGAGTCCAAAGACCGCGCGGTGACCCTGGATCCCCACCGATTCACCACACGGCGTGGTCATCACACCGTTTGGGGTCCCCCGAAGGTCCCCTGAGATCCGACGGCGCGACAACATTCCAACACTGTATATAGACAATCAGTACCGGAGCCCTAGACCCCATCTATCTGCGCCACTCTTTCAGCCAGATCGAACTGTGAGTCCAATTGGGGCGACCGCGTGGTTGCTAAGAGGATGGGGGGGCTGATCGGCGGGCGCCAAGGTGGTTACGTATCTGGCATCTGGCCCAACTCGGCTTATAAGCGCGATATGCATGCCCCTGATGGCTTAAAGGGATTGGACAACTCCGCTAAGTCGGCGGATACAGTTTTAGAGTGAGGGGGCCGAACGTTCACTGTCCCTGGGTGCGTGGCTGATGTGGGACAACGTGGCTCGTATTTTTGACCTCTCACTTCTGAAGAACGCTTATTGATGATCCCCCTCCGGCGCGCATGGTGTGTTACCAATAAAAGTGCCCTTCCTGGGGCTCACACCCGTTGCTTTTATCAAGGAAAGTCTTGAGGGTCAAATTGGGCCCCATGATCCCCCGAGCTACGGGCTACAACAACAACTATTTCCGCCTAGTACTCTCGCACAATGTATTCCGAAACCGCGCTGTCGCGCGGCACTTCCTCCGAGTGTGTGCAGGAATCGCGCTCTCGCGTGGGACTTCCTTCTTAGAAAGGTACTCCAACATCGCCGCGCCAGCGACACTCAGGAATCACGCTCTCGCTGTGGTTTTTCTCACGATTCACTTGGGAATCGCGTTATCGCTCGAGACTTCCTCGCGATTCATACAAGACTCACGCTTCAGCAACCCGCCTGCTCGACATGGCCGCCTGGGCCCGCCTTCCCCACCCGCCCGCTATGAGTCTGCCCGCCCTGTCTGCCTGTCTGGTTATACCACGTGTTTTCTGCTCCTACCCCCCCTCCTGTTAGTTTCTCTCGTGTTCCATCCTTCTCCCTCCTCCTTTCATCCGTCCTCTCTTCCCCTGCTTTAGGGGCTGTACTACATGCACGTGGCAGGTAAGGAAGAGATACCTCCCAAGGGGGTGAGATCGAAGACGACGCGGGCGTGTACCAAGGGTGCGGGATGTAAGGAGGAGCGAACAGTCTTAACAAGTTGGTTGTTGTTGCTGCTGTCGTTGTTGCTGCTGCTGTTGGTTTTGTTGTTATTGCTGCTGTTGTGGCCCTGGTTGTTGATGTAGTTGCTGCTGCTGATGTTGTCGTTGGTGCGTATGTTGGTGTTGCTGCTGCTGTTGTTACTGTGGTTGAGGTGTGTGTGTGTGTGTGCTGTAGTTGTTGGTTTTGTTGATGGTGTTGTTGCTGTTAATGTGGCTGTTGTTGGTGTTGTTAGTGTTGTCGTTGTTGTTGTTGGTGTTGTATGTGTTACTTGTGTTGTTGTTGCTGTTGTGTGTGATGCTGTTGTTGTTGTTAATCGTATTGTCGTTTGTGGTTGTCGTCGTCCTCGCCCGGGACCCCCCAAATCACCCCGCGAGCCATCCGCGACGCCCCATCACTCTTGACCGCAACTGCGCGGTGCTACGTGCTATAGCACTGTTGTTAGGTAGCAGGGGTTACGTCGACCCCTATCCCAGGCGTCGTGGGGTCTTCGAGTGGACAAGAGATTTGGGGCCCAACCCTGGGATACACGATGGGGGGGGCGTCCATCCTCGATAGGGGTGCTTCCGAATAGCCCCCTTAGGGCGTATCCCACGGTGTCCCGTTCTTTTTTCCGAGCGGCCTCATTTTTCGTCGAAAAGGTCGGGGAGGGAAGAGCAAACACCGTCTGCGATTAGGCGGACCGGGGGGGGGGGGCGCCCTGAAGGTCTCACGAGGTCAAGCGTCGGGCTGCCGCCGCTCCGCCGCCGCCTCCGCCGCCGCCTCCCCCCTCCGCTGCCGCCTGCACTGCACTGCCGCGCCCCTGCTGCGGCCCCGCCTCCCGTTGAGGCCTCTGCCCTCTCCTGATGCCCGTGCCATGGCAGCATGCGTGGCCGGGGAAGCCAGGACGAGGATAACATCGGCTTCGAATAAATCGAGAATCTCTGAGATCTGGCGGATCTCGAGGAAGTCTCGGGCGCCGCGGCCTTCTCAGAGCGTTCCAGAACGCTCTGAGAGCGTTCCGGAACGCTCTGGAACGGATTCATCCTCGTCCTAGCCCCGTCCGATTTGGGCCTGATCTGGACTGGACTTGGAACACACTTGGGACCCGAGCTGGACCGGATTCGCACTTCCACCCAGGGGGGCGAGAAGGAAGAGCAGGGGGAGGAGCAACAGGAAGGGCGGGAAGGAGCAGGAGGAAGGGCCAAAGCCGGCCCAAAGGCAGGAGAAGCTGATTTTCGTGTCACCGCCGCCCACGGCTCCCAGGAACAGAGATCGGGCCGTCTCTGTGCCTCCGCCTCGTGGGAAAGGGAACCAACGGAAGGCGTGTTGTGCAAGCGCGCTCCACTACTCGCAAAGTACCTACTCGCAAATGGCCTGGATCCGCCGCGGTGGGTTTACGATATATTACAATAAAGAAAATAAGTTTATTTGTTTCAGACGTTTGCGAGAAGGACTCTTGCGAGAAGTGGAACGCGCTTGGTGATGTGTGGCTGGGGGCCCTTGCCAGGCCCCGGGATCGTCGACGAACGGCACGGGGCGAAACACTGGTCCTGCGGAATGGGTCGAGACATCCAGAGACCGACGTTCTGAAAAAATCCAGACGTCGAGGTCTGGAAAGGCTTCCCCCATCTTCCTGCGGCATTTCTCGAGCCGGATCGATCTTCTGCGAGGGTTCCAGGGCATGGAGCCAGGCGAAGACGCCCGGCTCGAATAAGGAGACACCCAGGGAATGGGTCGAGACATCCCTGGGCTTCACGCACGGAAAAAAACAGAGACGTCGGACGTCTGCAGCGTGCGCCGCGCGCGCGCGGTCTCCCTTCAGAGGTGGGCGCGCGCGGCGCAGCGGGAGGGAAGGGGCGGACACGGTAGGACTGCAGCACGGCGCCACTTTGCACCTCGAGGAACGACGGCAGGCCTTTTAGTTTGGGGCGGGGAGCGAGCAATTGAATAATCGATCTGGGGACCTTCCTGGAAGCACTCGTTCCACTCATGCGTCGATGCTGCGTCGGACGTCCATCGACTTGAGCAGAGCTCGAGTCGGACTTGAGTCGAGCTGGGGTCGAGCTGGAGTTGAGCCAGAGTCGAACTAGAGCCGAGCAGATCCGTTTAGCGGGCCCCAACAGAGCAAACAAGCAAGCAAGCAGGCAAGCAGGCAAGCAAGCGAGCAAACAAGCAAGCAAGCAAACAATCAAGGAATACAACAAATCCTAGCAAGGTGGACCGCTGGGGGCAGGACTACACACGATGCGTTTCCCGAACAAGCTACAACAGAGGGGTATATATATGTGTATAGATATATTGTTCTACGTGTTTGTCGCCCACGGCGCAGAAAGGTCCCAGGACGGTCCCAGAGAGATCCCCCAGGCAGACATCTGACAGGTGGATTGCTGGCTTCCCCCCACAAGAGCCGCGACACGTCCACCTCCTGTTCCCGGTCGCGGTGCCCGGCAGAGGCCTCGCCGGATAAAAGGAAGGGGTGGGGTCGGCGGTCGTCGGGCCCTGTCCTCCTGCTCCCGGCTCTCCTCTTCCTTCATCCCGTCTCTCCATGCGTGATCCTCCTCTTCGTCTCCTCTTCCACTAACAGCCATTGTTCCTCCTTCTCCTCCGCCTCCCCTTCCTCCTCATACCCTTCTTCATCATCATTCGCAGCATCAGCATCACCATGAGCATCATATTGATCAGGATCGTCATCATCAGCGCCATACTCATCCTCATCATCAACAACACCATGACCATCACCACCATCATCTTCATCATCGTCACCTCAACTTCCCCCAACACCACCAACAGCAAGATCACCACCATCATCACAATTTACACGAACGCACCCTTAGCATTATCATGTGGCTCTGTTCTTTCGACGCCGCCAGAGAAAACGTTCATATCCGATACACTGCGGGGGCTGAGAGCCTGACAGAGATATCACACAGACCGGAAGCATTCGAAGGGTCCCAATCAGGATCCCCCCCCCGCTTTGCTGAGCAGGAGGGTGACATGGGTAGGCTTGGGGATAGCTGGAACAACTTGAGCGATCGTGTCTGAACGATGGCGATAGGACGGCGGTGCTCCCAAACCGCAGACAACATTCCCAAGCAAGCACATCCATGTGGCTCTGCTCCTTCTACGCCGCCAGCAAAGACGCTCATATCCGATAACACTACAAGGGCTGCGAGCTGGACGGCGATATCACACAGATCGGAGGCACTCGAAAGGTCCCAATCAGAACCCCCAATCCCGAACTTTTAAAACTGGCCTCTGGCCTACGCGAAGCGACTAACAGCAGATCGCAGACATGTTCGCCGAAGGGTTGCGGATATGGCTGTGCAGCCAGCGATTTCAATTTGTTTCCCAATCGCATTTTTGTTCCTACAAGTTGTCAATGCTTCTTGTTAGTTGCGGAACACCTAACTCTGCTCATGACACACTTCTTGACACCCCCGAGCTCGGGACATCTAGAGGCGAGCAGGGGCGTGTGTTTTTCTGCCACGGGGTGCCATGCTGACAAAAACTAGCTGCGTACATTTCAGCACCGAGACGTCTCAACGAGTTAAACGGGCGAGTCAACCAAAGTCTGGAGGTCATCCGATTTTGGGCGACCACGCGAATGCCAGCGAGGGCGCACGAACGAGCGAGCAAGGCCGAGGCGCGCATGGGCGCATTGCCTAGGCGGACCTTCGCAGAATCTTTGTCACAGAGGCCGGGGATGCCAAGCAGCCTGGGCCCCGAATCTCGGAGGGGGGCGGGGCCAGCCCCCCCTCCGAGCTCTGGGCAAGGAAGTGCCTGGGGCCCCCGGCCAGACGGGGCGACAGGCCGGCGCGGTGGCAAGCTCGAGGAGGGCCTTCCAGGCCATGGGTCTGGGGATGTCCTGGTTCGGAGCGTGGGCGACGTTGAGGGTGTAGACGAGATGGCCCCTCTTCGTGAGCATGAGCGAGAGGCGTATGCACCCGGCGAAGACCTCGATGCAATGGCCCCGCCCGCCTCAGGATGCCAGGCGGCGGCTCAGCGATGCCGCGAGGGCGGCTGGGAGCGACCTCGCGGCGGCCAGCGCCGCCTTCATCGCGGCTTGCGGCAGGTGGGCCTCCTCGCACTGGAGACGCGACGCCGCCTCGCGGGGTTTCACCGAGGCGTCGGCGCTCCAGCGCCCTCGATGCTTGATCTCCAGCGGGGTCCTCAGATCGCCCCTCCTGTCCTCGGACGGCCCGCCGCGCCTCATCTGGCACAGGGCGCGCAGCTTCTCCGCCCCGAGGTGGAGCTGGGCCGCCCGGAACAGCGCGGCGAACCAGATCATCGTGAGGGGGGGGGGTCCGCTGGTTGGTTTGGTTGCAAGCCTCACGGCCTCGCCGATGAAGAGCCTCCTCGGATGGTCGATCGGCGGGCTCTCGTTCGTCGCCGTGGTCTTCGAGGCATGCCACCTCTCCTCTGGGTGGAGGTTGGGCGCGGCGAAGGTCGAGGCGGGGGCCAGCGGCGCCGGCGCGTGGGACACCTGCAGGTTCAGCCCCAGCGAGGGCTTCAGGTAGCACGCGAAGCAAAGCACCACCAGCAGCGCGCCAACGGCGCGCCCCAGTCGACCATCACCTGCGCCACCGCGACCGCCACGAGCCATGGCATCGGCGGCCGCGTGACCGCTGGCCCCAGGCGCGACCAGGCATGGAGGGCCCGGCAGGTGCGCGGGAGAGATGCCCCCCCTGTACCCGCCGATGGGCATGTCGCCTGCCGGGCCGCGTAGAGCACCTGCCCCGCGGAACGGTCGTCGCCGTCGGTGAGCAGCTCTTGCACCAGCTCGGGCATCGCGACGTCGGCCGACTCCGGCGAGTTCACCTGCAAGCCCCGGTGGAAGCAAAATGTGCTCAACCTGCGCAGAAGCTGGTCCGACGGCCCCGAGCGCCAGCGCCGAGGCCGCGCCCGAGCCAGAAGGGAGTGCGACCTCGCGGAGGTCGGCCAGGAGCGCCGGCGACAAGGGCAGCGACCTGGTCGGCTTGATATGGCCTTCCATGGACGAAGCAGGGCGCCTCAAGACCGCGCAGGAGCGCGTCCGTGCCCTCCCAGAGCCGCGAGCCACCATCTGCGGCGTTCAGCTCGGACGGGCGCCATCTGCGGTGCACCCGCACATCGGCGGCGAGGGCGAGCGCGAGCAGGCGCCGGCAAATCCTCAACAATCCTGCAGCGGAAGACCTGCCCTTCTCTGAAGCCAATATGAGCGATGGATTGTCCCCAAGGTGTAGAAGCGAACAACCGAAAGACGCCGGAAAACGAAGCTGGCGCCTCTGGGCCGCCACCGAGCCCCTACCTTCAAGTACCATGATGTTTTCGTCCTCGAGGAACCGAGTCGCGAAATCGAGCTGCCAATCCTTGGGGTCCAAGCTCCTCAGGGATCTCGACGAAGATGGGGTTCTCGCCCCAGGCCTCTGGAGTCTCGTGGGGGTCCACGGGCTCGACAGTGTTGGCGTTGCTGAGAACGTCCGCGCCTGGCAGCGAGTGGCCCCGAGCCCTGGTAGCGGGGGCCCCAGCCTTGCACCTGGACTTCTCATTGAGGCCCCGATCGACTTGACGACGTCCGAGTCGAGCACCCGCGAGCATACAGCGTACCCAGAGAGGCAGGCGTCGGACAACCTGACCTTCGGACACCACGGTCTATCGAGCCGCGCCCGGCAAAACGGCAGCAGCGCGTCGAACCATCCGATCTCCCTGCGCACCGAACGCCAGACACGGCAGCGGCTGACGGCGCGAACCGAGATGAAGGAGTAGACGTGATGGAAGATAGCGAACATTTCAAGTCGCAACATGCGCAGGTAAGCACAGAGACCCACGAACCGCTCCAAAATTTTGCCGCTGACGCGGGGCCGCCGAAGGGGCCGAAGCCCTGCGGCCCTGATCAACTCCAGCTTGCGGTCCGTGGGGACGACGAGTCTCTCTCGGCCCATGACCTCATAGCTCGGCGCGACGGCGTCCACGGAGGGCCCGTAGATCTCGCGCGCCGCGAAGCCGACGCGCCGGAGGTGGTCGACCAGCTCGCCCTGCATGGCCCCGGCGCGCTGCGCGTCGGAGCCCACGACGTTCAAGTTGTCGGCGCAGGCGAGCAGCGCCAGCTTGCCATCCGACATGTCGGGGGCGGGCCGCTCATCACTCAAGATGCGATCCACCGTGACGGCCTCGCTGCGCATGGGCTGGTGGTAGACCGCGCGCCGGGCAACCCGCATCGCCCAGCTCCAGCCCATCGGGGCCGCCGCGAGGCAGGGCGACACGAGGCTGCCCTCGGGCAGCGATGCGATGTCGGGTGGGAGTCTGCACGTGGTCCTCAGCAAGGACGCGTCGACCGCGGGGAGGGCAAAGTACTCGGAGAGCTCTTCCTCGATCACGGAGTGGTAGATGTAGTTCGCCAGGTCCGACTGCTCGGTGTAAACCTCCTCGCCCTGCCCGAACTCGAGGTCAGCGAGCTTGCTCCCCGACGACATGTTCATCTTCGGGCACCTCGCGAACCTCGCGTTGACTTCCCTACAGCCCAACGCGATGCGCAACTCCCCAGACTTCTTCCGAACGAAGAACAACGCGATGAGATCCTGGGCGCTAGTCGAATACCTCAGCATGTTGGCACGGTCAAGCCGGGCCACGAATTCCGCGTACTTGCCGGGGTCCGAGGCGAGCGTCGGGCCCATGTAGGGGGCGACCAGGGCCTCGCTCTCGCGCCGCTGGCCGAACTCATCCTCAGACAACATCATGCGCGACCGAAATCCCCGAAGGCAACGGGCCCCCTCGGGGTCGAGAACATCAAGTGCGGCGGGAGGCTGCTCCAACTCCACCGGCACCGCGATCAGCGTGGCATCATACCTGGCCACAGTACTTGGAACCTCTCCACTGTCGTAGGCGAGGTCGGAGCCGAGAAGCTCGCGGGCGGCTTCTCGCTGCTGGGGAAAGGGCGCTCCTGCAGGAAGAACGTGCCTCAAAACTGTGCGCTGAGCCGCTTCCTGGGCCGGGCCCCTGCCCGCCCTTGGCGGCTCCGGCGACGAGGAGGAGGGCCCGCCGTAGAGCTCGTTCAAGGCCTGGATACTGGGCTTCTTGGCATGCCGACTGGTCGGCAGCGCTGTAGCCGGGCTGGCTCGGCGAGACTCGGTGCGCCTCCTTGATCAGCGCGAGACGTCGCGAGGCCAGCTCCATGCGCAGGACAAACGGGCAGTTCCATTGATCCTGCATCGCCGCTGCGTCGAGGATGCGGCTGAAAACCTCATTCTCGTAGATGCTCCGATCTCCCAGCAGCACCTTGGAGAGGCGCACCCAATTCTCGTGTGAGTGGAAGGCGCTGTTTCCGTTGTCCCGCGCGTGCTTCATGAACCAGAGGACGGTGCGAGGGCCCTGAAGATCCCAAGGCATGTGCTCCTCCGACGAGTGGGCCAGCGCGTCGCCCCATGAGCGACTGCGCTCGCCCTGGACATCAGCCAACGTGCGAGCATCACCCCTGGCCAGCACCAGCGCGCCCGCAGCGGAGAGCTGCGCCACCGCCACCGAGACGCCCGCCACGCGGAGGAGGGCGAGGTCGCCGAGCACGAGGGCGCCGGGCGGCAGCTGGCGGCAAACGACGTCGCCCATCGAGTAGCCCCCACGATCCTCCACGGCGTACCAGCTGAGCCCAGGCGGAGGCACCAGCACGCCGCCCGGCGCGGCCGCAGCGGCGGCGGCGCCTCCGCCCAATCCAAGCGGGATGCCCAGCGCCGCGCTGGCGGCAGCGCCGGCGGCCGCGCCGCCAGGGGGCAGGGGGCCTCCGCCTCCCGGGTCAGGCGGCGCCCCCCCCCGCGGGCACCAAGGCCGCGGCCGCCCCGGCAAGCGGCGCGGCATCAGGTGCTGCGCCGTCCGCCGCGGCCGCCGCCGCGCCTGCATCACCGCCGGGCGGGTTGAAGTGGCGCACGAGCGGCAGCGGTGCGCACGGCACGCCAAGGTGGTGAGCCCCGAGCATCGCGAAGGCGTCGATCATCGCCTGGGCCGGCGCCGCACGGAAACCATAGACCTGTCCAGCTGCGTCCCTAGGCGGTACCTCCTTAGCGTACGTCAAAACGTGCGCACTGACGAAATCGAGCCCGACGGTGCACGACTCCTCGTAGTGGTCGAGATCGGGCGTGAACCCATATGCATCGAAAGACCCTGGGCGGACAGCCAAAACCAACCTGACAATGCATTCGCTCATTGCTACCCTCCCTGCCACCCACAAAGAGCGAGAGAGAGGCGGCGCATTTTTTGTTTTAAACCAAATGCGCCAACTCCTGCACGGCCGTCAAGTGGAAGCGGCAAGCTACGACGACGCCGCGCAGGACGACCCAGGCCCGGGGGGCCCGAATCGTGAGCCTCGTGGAGGCGGAGATGACCTAAGCCCGTGGGGCTCGAATCATCAGCCTCGCGAAGGCGGAGTTGACCTAGGCCAGGGGGGCCCGAATCATCAGCCCCGTGGAGGCGACGGTGACCCAAGCCCGGGGGGCTCGAATCACCGGCCTCGTGGAGGCGAGGGTGACCTAAGCCCGGGGGGCTCGAATCATCAACCCCGCGGGGGCGGGGATGACCTAGGCCCGCGGGGCCCGGACCATCAGCCTCGTGGAAGCGGAAATGACCTAGGCCTGTGGGGCCCGAGTCATCGGCCTCGTGGAGGCGAAAATGACCTAAGCCCGTGGGGCTCGAATCACCAGCCTCGTGGAGGCGACAGTGACCTAAACCTAGGGGGCTCGGGTCACCGGCCTCGTGGAGGCGGAGATGACCTAGGCCCGCGGGGCCCGAATCATCAACCTCGTGGAGGCGAGACGACCTAGGACAGGCGCAGGCAACCGGCCCTCTGTGGAGGCGCACCCTCGCCCCCCACCCTCTTGTGGCGAGGGCGGGCGGGAGATTCACGGAAGTGTGACAGCTGGTTAGGCCGACGTGGCTACGGAGAAGATGCGTGCTGAATGGCAGACATACTATGCACCTCCAAGCCACATGAGACTGAAACAACAGCAAATGGCCCCGGACATCCCGCCATGGCGCGGCCCAGTTTTCCGCGCAGCGTCCAGCCGTGGCAACGAGGAGGGGGGGGGCCAGAAGCACAGCGAGGCGCTGTTTCCCTGCCCGCAGGACCCTCGGACCTCTGAGCCCTCGGACCTGAGCCTTGAGCCAGGCAAGGAGACCCTAAACACCAGCCAGGGGGGGCGATAGTAGAGCCCTGGCCCTTGGCGTAAAAATCCAATCTTCAAGCGTCTACTGCGGCCTTCAGGCGTGATCGGTCTGACACGATCGCAATGGCTTCGTGGATTGATCCCCTCAACGGCACTGCAGGCGGCATCCGTGGGAAATCCTGCCTGCGGAGCGGCGCCGTGGAAACAGGCGCGACTCCGGAGACCCCGGAGGGGCATGCCAGTGGCAGAACAGGGGGGCCCTGCACCACACCGCCAGCGTGCCGCTGTGGGAGAGCCAGAGCCGCGCGCGGCTGCAAGAGCGGCGCGAAACCTGGCGCGGAGCTGCTCGCGGAAACGCGGGGCAGGAGGCACGGGGTCAGGGCCGCGCGCGGCTGCAGGAGCGGCGCGAACCTCGGCGCAGAACTGCTCGCGGACGCGCCGGGCCTGAGGCACGGGGCCACCGCGGCACGAAACCCGTGGCCGGCACGCCCGCCCGCAAATTACCCCCCTGTTCCACGAAAGGCGCGGGCGGCGTGCCCGGGCGCCCATGTGCGAAGCGAGGCCACTTGGCAGCAGGGGGGGCTCGGGCCGGGTGATTGTCGGAATGGCTCATCCCTTCAATCTGAGCCAATAGCAACGGTTATGAATGGCAGGGGGAGGAGGGGGGGAGGGAGGAAGGGAGGCAGGGAAGGAGGGGGGAGGGAGAGGCAAAGAAGAATTACTCACTGCGTGGAACGCCCCATATGTGATCTATTCGCAAGGACCGAGGAAGCAGGAAGAGCAGGAGGCGTCCAAGTAATAACAGTAACCCCATCTTAGGAGAAGGGGACCCCCCCCCCAAAAAAAAAACGAATGTTTCTCTGGGGGGGCTGGCCGGCCGGGCGCGGTTGCAAGCCAGGCAGGAAGGCAGAGATGTTGACGCATTTCTTCGTCTGGCCTTGACTTCAGTCCTGCGTGCATATGGGGCCCCGGGCCGCCTTGGGCGTGCCCAGGGAAGGTGGCGATCTGGTTTCACAGGCGCGCCGATGCGGACGCCCATGCTTCGGCGCCAACCTGGGCTGCCCACAAGCCCGACTCGACCCCCCGGGGGGGGCAAGTGGTAGTAGGAGCGGCCGCGTGGCGGCAAAGGCCGGCACTTGGCGCCAGCCAGCGCTGCGGGCGTTTCGGGCAGGCGCCCCGGGGCCGACATCCGCGACAGCCAGTCGGCCGTGCGATTCCAGTCGCCTGGGATGTGCGTTAGACACAAGTCGCGGATGTCCAGGGACTCCAGCTCCAGCGCCAACTCGGCCCCGACGAAGTTCATGACTGGCGAAGAACTGGACAATTTCCGTGCCGGGGCAAGGGCCGCGGAATTGCCCCCCCGCATGTCAACTGTAGCCGAGGATGCGCGCAGAAAGCGGCCCCACAGTTTCAGCGCCACCAGAAGCGCCAACGCTTCCAAGGCCTGCTGGGCGCTGGAGCACCCCCGCCGGATGAGGAGCAGCGAGATGTCGTCGTCGAGCACGTCGCCGAAGGCATATTCCACGACCCTGCCAGTGGCTGCGTGGGCCAATGTCAACCCGAGGCCCCGCGGGGAAGCGTCGACGATGATGACTGTAGCTGGCGGGCTGCTGCCCCACGCGATTCGCCTGGTCACAGGCCCCTCCATGCCTCGCCACAGGGCCGTGAGCCACCGCGCGGGAAATGCAACGCGTTTGGCCGCGACCATGCCGCACATCGGGCGCGGGTCGCCCCTCTGCTGCCGCCTGCGGCCCTCCGCGCCCGAGCGGAAATCCCTCTCTGCCGACGCAGCGACCGCGTACAGGATGGCAACGGCGCAGCGAATGCGCGGCAGCAGCCCGGCGACCCAGGAATGTTCCCCAATGCATTGCTTGAACACCTTGAGGCTTATCGTGGCGCCGTTGCCCAGCCGGACGAGCAGCGCCAGCAGCTCTTCAATCGTGCTGGCGGGGATAGCGACGGTCATCTCGCGGGACGCAACATCGGCAGCGATTGTCGCGCCGATCCACGCAACCGCGGGCCCGCGGGCGGCCTTGTGCCACGCGATACGGACACCGAGGCCGATGAGGATCCACAGCGCGAGACCGAGCTGCCGGTCGCGCTGCGCGCGCGTGCCCGAGAGCGTCCAGATAGGGTCGTCCAGGTACAGCTGCATGCGGGCGTGGCTCTGGTTCACGCAGGACTGCACGAGCCTCGCGAGGGCGGCGGCCACGCGGCACTAGATGAGCGGGGCACCAAATAAGCCGAAACACAACGTTATCCACAACAACATACGCCCGGGCACCACGTCTGGCGACAGGCAGTGGCGTAGCTCATCCGGGTGAGTCCGCAGGTGCATGCGCGCGTCAGAGAAGTCTGCGATCGCGAACTCCATGTCGCAGCTCTCGTCGCCGTGCGTGGGCGGCGCCGCGCCGCAAGCGAGAGCCCGGGCATCCTGGATGACGTCGCAGATTCGCGGGAGCACAGGCCGCTCCGGCACCCGGGCACGGCTGTTGACAGGAACGGGCTTGCTCCGTTTCAAATCAACAATGGTGCGCCGCTTGACTGTCGCGTCTGGCTTGACCCTGGTCAGCAGCGCAATCTTGGAGACCGATACACCGGGGAACCTCTGCAAGGCCGTGGACTCCGTGATTGAGACTGCGACATCATTGGCGAAGTAGCGGTGCACTTCGGAAGCAGCAGCCTCTGGGTCGTCGGCCATTGACTGATAGTTGAACACGCCTTGCGCCAAGGCCATGTCCAAGCCACCGTCGTGGTGCTCGATGTCTGACTGCGGCAAGACCGGGAAGATGCCGCAAATGGGAATGGGCACCTCCACGCGAAGCGGCGCGCCTGTCTGGCACCAGTCACGCAGGCAAGTCTCCAGGTCGCCGACTGCTTGCAACCGCGAGTGCAGGAGCTCGGGTCCCGCCGGCGCCTCCGCGCGGGCGCCGAGGTGCCCCCGCAGCCGAGCGCGCCACTCTTCGACGAGCTCGCGCTCTGGGCCAGCGTACGTCCTGTCGCCGAAGCGCTGGACAACGGCGAAGGCGCCCGGCCGCTCCGAGATCCATCGATCGTAGAGAGCAGCCACTTCCTTGCCCAGCGCGCAAAGGCGCGGCAACCGGGCCACCGCGGCAGCAGTGCAGCGCAGGCCGCCGACGCACAATGCGTTCTCGAGCTCGCGGCGGGCTCGCTGCGAGGCGGGGGCCGCGGCGGCCGGCGCTGGGTGCGCGAGCTCTGCGAGATGCGGAGGGGCAGCTGGGTGCCCGGCTGGGGCGCCGGCGTGGCCGGGCAGCTGCCGGACCAGGGCGTCGCCCCAATGGCCCACGCGGATGAGGGCGCTGCTGGGGGCCTCAGCAGCAGCGCCAGGGGCGCAGGGCGACTGGCTCAGCGGCGCCAGCAGTCCGGCGCCTTGTGCGAGGGGTCCCCGCACGTGCTGCACTTGTGCACCCGGCCCTGCGGGCAAGTGGAGGGGGCCCCCAGCTTGCCACACTCGTTCTTGGGGTTGCCCTGGTTCCAGGTCTTGCAGATCTGGATCTCGGTTGTGCGCGGCCCCCCCGCCGAGGCGCGGGGCGCCGCCGGCGGGGGGCCACCGTTTCCCGACGGCTGCTGCTGGGGCTGCCCGCTGCGGGCGGCCTTCTTCTCCGCCTTGGTCTTGCGACGTTTGGTCGGGTTTGAGGGCTGCTCTGTCGGTGGCGCCACAGCCGCGAGGCCGCCCGGCAGGTGGGCCACCGCGGCCTCCTCCTCGGTCGCGCGGAGGACGCCGCGGCCGCCGCGGGACACCCACGCAGCAGCGCGGTGCCGCACGCGGGAGTCCCAGAAGGCCTCGTCCGCGGCAGCGAGGCGGTAGATCGTGGACCGCGGCCTTTCGCTGTCCCAGTCCGGCGCCGGTGTCTGGCCCGCTTGGAGCTCGGCTTCGTACTTGCGCCTGACACGGCGCAGGTGTTCGGCGCGCATCTGGTCGTCTGCCGTGACGGTCAAATGCCAACACTCTGCCCAGAGCTGCACGAGCTGGCGGATCTTCTCCGCGTGCAGCTCGAGCGCTGGGCGGGCCACAGCCATGATCATGAGGCACGCTGCCGCGAACACTCTCCGCGATGCCTCCCACTGCTGAAGGTTCTCTGGCCCCGGGAGCTCCTTGTCCGTGTAGGAGCCGTCCCCCGTAGGGAACCACGCGCGGAATTTGTCCGCCCGCGCGCCCTTCCGAGGGAGAGGCCGCCACGCGGCGAAGTCCGCATACGGGGAGCAGCCGCGATCCTTGACCCTGCGCTGCAACGCCGTGAGCTGCTCGATGGACGGCTCCGCGTCCTCCGGCGGCACAGCCAGCATTTGCATCTGGTAGTTGCTGAACCACCTCTCATACAGGTCGTTTTCAGCGACCTTGACTTCGCCGTCGTCGCCCTGGTCGAACACCAGCGCCAACTTGACGACTTTTCCCTTGGTCGCAGACCCGGCAGGGACGCGGGCATCCAGGAAGGAGACAACAGGCGCCGGGGGAACCTGCGGAGCAACGAAGGGATCGACGTCAACGAAATCTTCCCACTTACTGCCGCTGGCCACCCAAGAGATGCGCCGGCAGATGCGCCAGACTTGGCCCACTGGCTTGCCTCGAGCGGGCTGATGCCGCGCATGGCTTGTTCTCCTTCTGTGGCTGAACCCTCCACCGGCACCTGAGTGGCCAAAATTCCGCAATGCAGCATCACCTGGGGAATGATGGACAGCAGAGGGATGTGATCCTGGAGCTGCCCCAAGTGCGCCGCCACAGCGTTGAAGACGGGCTCTGCGACGCGAGCGAACCAGATCACCTCCGAAATCGTCGTCCATGACTTGGCCTCGGCCTCAGAAGGGAACAAAGCCATCGTCGAGGCAAGCCGCGCAACTGCGGCACGCCCCCGGAAACAATAAATGAATGGAGAAATAATGTAAGGTTCACGGAAGTATGAAAGCTGGCTCGGGGACATCCCGCCATGGCGCGGCCCAGTTTTCCGCGCAGCGTCCAGCCGTGGCAAGGAGGAGTGGGGGAGCCAGAAGCACAGCGAGGCGCTGTTTCCCTGCCCGCAGGACCCTCGGACCTCTGAGCCTTCGGACTTGCGCCTTCAGCCAGGCAACGAGACCCTAAACAGCAGCCAGGGGGGACGATAGTAGAGCCCTGGCCCTCAGCCCTCCAGCTCGCTGTTTAGGGAGAGAGGCGCGCAGGAAGAATGACAGAAAGGATGGTGATGCGGAGTTCAAGGTGGGTTGTGAACCACCCGCCTTCCGAGCATCAAGCTCGCGCACAATGTCCTCCTGACAAGCCAAATCCGCACATGATACACGGCAGGGCCCGGGACGCCACGGTACCGCACCATCACATAGCTCCCTGCATTCAGCGCCATCACGTTCGAGATGCAGCACCGCGGTTCCGCACGAAGGACAGCTGCGCCCGAGCCTGCTCCTCAAGCGACGGGATCGCCTCCTTCACCACGACTGTCGGTCCAACCTCGTGCGCCGAGCGCCGCTCGACGGTCGGGAGCCCCCACACGGTACCGAGCACGTGCGCGGCGACGACCAGCACCGTCAACACCGTCACCCCGCCGGCCACCGCCAGCGGCGACGGCGTCTCACAGACGCAAGTAGTCGCCGGCACAGCGGGGCAGTGCAGGACTGGGGCGCAGGCTGGGCACGGCTGGCCCGCACCCCACACTGCCGCCCCGGCGCTGACCCCGCGCGCGAGCTCAAAGAATAAGAAAACAAAAAATAAAACTCAAAAAAAAAAAAACTCAAAAAAAAAAAAAAAGCAAACGAAAAAAAAAGAAAAAAGAAACCAAAAAAACCAAAAGATAAAAAAGCAACAAAAAATAAAAGAAAACGAAAAAAAACAACTTGAAGAAAAGAAAAAACAAAAAAAATCAGCAAACAAAAAAAATAAGAAAACGAAAAAAAAACAAAAAAAAAAAAAGGAAAAAAATAAAAAAACTTAAAAAAAGAACAAAAACTCAAAAAAGGATCGTGGCGCGGGCTACTTGCATAGCCGGAAAAAACTTGAGCGATCGTGTCAATGGAACGATGGCGATAGGACGGCGGTGCTCCAACACCGCAGACAACATTCCCGAGCAAGCACATCCATGATCCTCTTCCTTCTTCTCATCCTCCTCCTCATTCTGTTCATCCATCTTTCCCTCTACCCTTCCCCCGTGCTCGTCGGCCTCCCCGTCCTTCCCCAGGCCCGACGAGAGCACCGTCGTCGCTGGGGAGGAATGATGATACACCAGCAGACTGGTCGAAAAAAGAGAATACATCAGACAAGATGGAAGTCCTTGGTGCCGTACACAGCGGCCGGCGGCGGCGAAACAACATGGTCCAAAAGAGCATGTATAGGACCTCTGGGAGTTTCTGCCTCGGCCGTGCGTTTTCCTCGAGCAGCGGGCCTGCAGAGCAAGCTGCCCCGCATCCCAGACCCCCGCCGACATGTCGTTATTCAGGATGTCGACCCCCAGAGGCCTCGACCCCTTCCCCGGGAACGGCTTTCCATCCCGAGTCGCTTTCGGACGCCGCCCGCGGCCTGGCACGGGCACCCCCGAGGCCGAAACCAGCAAGAACAACAACAAAACACGCCTCCGTCGTGATCCTGCTCGCGACGCGCGGGGGCCCGGAATCCACGGGCTTGTGGAAAAAAACAAAATAGTCGGTGGAAAACACACACACACACAGCCTCCGGAGAAAACACACACACACACAAGGCCTGTGCGTTTTCCTAAAGTCTGTGTGTTTTCCACAGAGGCCGCCCAGCTCGCTGCGCCGTGGGCTGGGGGCGCGGGCGGCGACGGCGACGGCGGCGCCAGCGGCGATTGGGCGACTGACCGCCTCGGCGGAGAGCTTCAGCAGCGCCTCTCGCAGGGCGCCCTGGCGCCGCTGGGCGGCGCCGGCGGCGCCTGTTCGCCGGGGGGAGGGGGGGGCAGGGCAGGAGCCGGTGGCGAGCGAAAAGGAGAACCGAGAAGGGGCGGGCCTTCTCAGAAGGCTCAGAAGTCCCCCGGCCTTGTAAGAAGGTTGTTGGGCCTGCCCGGAAGTCGAAGAGAACCTCGAGGCCTTCTGAAAAGCCCCGCCGCCTTCTGAGAAGGCCCCCTCTGTCTCGCTTCCCCCCCTCGCTCGCCGCCGAAGAAGGTGACGTGTTCGACCACGTCGGGCGCGGCCTGAGCCGACCTCCAGCAAACCGTCGCCTTCCGTGACGTCCCCATCGCCTCTCAAACTTCCCTCCGGCCACACACATACAGTCAGCCCGTATCACAGGGATGCGCAGAAGCCTTGCAAGGGACAACTCCCAAGATCCCCCATCTGTTCCACAATTATCCCGGATGTTCGTGTTCCCCTCCACATCCCCCATCTTTTCCATAACTTATTCCCTACCTAGGCTCTGCCTAGGAGGGTTCTTATACTCTCTTCGCTTAAAGGGGCCGGGCAGTGTAAATCGCCCCGGGCGGTTCCCCCGGTCCCCTGGGAGCCAAGCAAAAGCAACAGCAAAGGTAAAAGCAAACGCGCGGTTCCCCCAGTTGCGCTCCCTGGGTGCCAAGCAAAGGCAAAATCAAAGGCAAAAGTGAAAGCAAAAGCGAAGGCAAAGCAACAGCATAGCAAAGCATAGCATCGCATAGCATAGCATATCATAGCGCAACATAGCATAGTGCCGCATAGCATAGCATAGCATAGCCTAGCCCAGCATAACATTGCGCAGCATAGCATAGCATAGCATAGCAGAGCAGAGCATAGCATAGCGCAGCACAGCACCCACTATTGCTGTAGATAAGGTGTGGATGTAGATTTAGCTGCAGGTGTAGATGTAGATGTAGCTCTAGATGTAGGTGCAGGTGACGATGTAGATGTTGGTGAATATATAGATGTAGATGTGAAGAACTCCCCAATGCCCCGCCCTCATCTCCGTGCCTGCTTGCTTTTGCTGCTGTCTCGGCGACTTGCTGCCTGCTTCTGCTGCTGCTTCACTTACGGCGTAGCGTCGGCGGTTCGGGCGCTACTATTACTACTACTACTACTACTACTGCTACTACTACTACTACTACTACTACTATTACTACTACCACCACCACCACCACCACTACTACTACTACTACTACTACTACTACTAAACTGCGACACGACTACGACTGACGACTACGCTACTAAACTAACTACTAACTATCTAACTACTACTACTACTAGTACTACTACTACTAACTACTAACTACTGCTGCTACTACTACTACTTACTACTACTACTACTACTACGACTACTATCTACTACTACTACTACTACTACTACTACTACGCCCGCCGACCCATAAGGACTATACGACGACGACGACGACGACGACGACGACGCACGACGACGACGACTACTACTACTACTACTACTAACTACTACTACTACGACACGACTACGACTACTACTACTATTCTACTACTACTACTACTACTACTACTACTACTACTACTACTACTAGTAAATACTACAACTACTACTACTACTACTACTACAACTACTACAACTACTACTACTACTACTACTACTACTACTACTACTACTACTACTACTACTACTACTACTACTACTAAGATTACTACTACTACTACTACTACTTCTACTGGCGGGTTCCCTTCGTTCATCAGGCTCGGCTCGCCGAAAAAGCCAAAACAAGAACAGCAAGCAAAGCAAGACAAGCAAGTATATGTCATGTAATTTTGCGAATAAGTGGTAGATATTTCTTGAGTAATATGATTTATTCGTGAATATTCTGTAATCGTTGGAAGTGTGTGTGTGTTTGGTAATTATGAAGATATATATATATGAAACTAAATAGTCACCGTTTGATTTAATTGTTTTGATACTGTAATATTATGTTTAAAGCAAGCATACTCATACTACACATACGAGTGGTAGTGTTAGTAGAAGTAATACTACTACTACTACTACTACTACTACTACTACTACTACTACTACTACTACTACTACTACTACTACTACTACTACTACTACTACTACTGGTAGTAGCAGTAGTAGTAGCAGTAGTAGTAGTAGTAGTAGTCGTAGTAGTCGCAGTAGTCGTGGTCGTAGTCATAGTCGTAGTCGTAGTCGTCGCGATTATATTTGTATGAGTCATAGTACTCGTACTATTGAACATACGTTCACACATGTACATGAACTACATATACATATACATATTTGTTGATATCTATATATATATATACTAGAACCATCGCGCGCGCTTCGCGCGCGCTCAGGTTCTAGCCCAGGCCTGGGGGGCGCTGGACGATCTTGGACAACGATATCAAGCACAGGCGCGCGACGGCATCTGAGGAGCTTCTGGGGTGTTCTGCATGCTTCGTCAACTGGCTGTTGGAGGCACCTCTTGGGTGCTTCTTGGGGGGGGTGTCTGAGGGTCCCTTGGGGGCATCGGTTCTGCAATCTGAAGCCGTCATTGGCCGTCTTGGCTGCGTGGAAGCCCGACTTAAGGCCACCTGCGGCCAGATTGAGGCAATCCGGATGCCTCCCCGGGGCCTCCTGGAAGCAGTTTTGACGCATCGAGGGCACTCTTGGGCTATCTTAAAGCCTCTTGGACGTCTCCTAGGAACCTTTTAGGCCCTCGGGAAGCTATTGGGGTCCTCGTCGGACCACTTGGGGGCCTCTTGCGGCCTCCTGTGTGCCTTGTGGGGGGACCGATCTGCTGTTGGGTCGCGTTCCCCTTCTTGGGCCTCTCTTGGGACTCTTGGGGCCCTCTCGAGCCGTCTTGGGCGCCTCAAGCACCGTCTTGGGGCTCTCGCGGGCCGTCTTGGGGTCCTCTTGGAGTCCTCTTCCTCTATATGGGAGCGGTATTGGAAGCCTCTTGGGCCGTCTTGGAGCATCGGGATGCCAAAAGGCCGAAAAAATTACACCCCGTCAAAGCCCAATCGTAAAACAATGAGTTGTGTCTCTTGGGGCCACCTTGGGAGATCTCTTGGAACCTCGTCGGCCCTCTTGGGAGCTTCTTGGGTGCCTCTTGGATCCGATTGGGGGCCTCTTGGGACTTCCCGAGAACCTCTCGGGGTAGAAAGCTCGGATTCTCGGTTCGTGTTTCCCTTCTTGGGAGCCTCTTCGGCTATCTTGGAGCTGTCTGGGAGGCCTCTTCCTCCTCCTCGTCCCGCTCCTCCTCCTCCTCCTCCTCCTCCTCCTCCTCCTCCTCCTCCCACTCCAACTCTCTCTCCTCCTCCTGATCTTCCTCCTCCTCCTCCTCCTCCTCCTCATCCTCCTGCAGCGTGTTCCGGAAGGCTCCCGCCGGAACATGCTGTGCACAAGTGCTGTCACTGCTCCCGCCACCGTGCCCTGGGTGGTGGGTCAGAGGCCTCATGGGTGTTGATGTGGATCTCGTGGTTGGCCTGTCGGGGACGTCGTGAAGGCAATTTCGCAGCTTCTCGGTAGCCGTTTTGGGACCGTTGTGGGGCCTCCTCGGGGCTGTTTTGTAGCCTCTTTAGGCCTCGTTTGGGCCTCCTGGGTGCCTCTTGGGGGCCTCCTGGGGCCCCTTGGGGGCTCCTTGGGGCCTCCTGGGGCACTCTTCAAGCGGGAGGGTCGAATTTTGGAGTCGTGGTCCCCCTCTTGGGCGCATCTTGGGGCCGTCTTGGGGCTCTGTTGGGCTGTCTTGGGCGACTCTGGGGCCGTCTTGGGGCCCTCTTGGGCCGTCTTGGGGCGCTCCTTGGGGGCCTATTGAGCCGTCTTGGAACGTCGGACAGCCGAAAAGGCTGGAAGGCCAAAATCGTCGAAAACCTTCGTACAATTGACGATTTCGGCCTCTGGAAGCGCTCTGGAGAGGCGTCTTGAAGCGTCGTGGAGTGCCTTGGGGGCCTCTCGGGCCGTCTTGGGCCTATCTTGGGCGTCCTGGAGCGGTCTTTCGGCGACTCGGGGCCCGCTTGGGCCGTCTTGGGAGCCTCTGGAGGCCCTCCTGGACTATTTTGGACCTCCCCGGCCGCCCCGTCCTCCCATGGGGGGTCGGAGGCGGCGGCCTCAGAGGCCCAGGACGCGGAAACCCTGTAAAAACACACGGAAAATGAGCCCCGGTACCCCCATGGCGGCTCTTCGGCGCTCTTGGACCGTTGGAAGCTCGAAAACGCGAGAAGCCAAAAACATTGAAAAGACCATTGAACATATACGACTTTGGCCTCTTCGGGCCGTACCGTGATACCTATCAGACTTCTTGGGGTCTCTTGGAGGCCACCTGGAAGCCTCGAGAGCCGTCGGAAGGCTGACTTGGGCTGCTCGGGAGCGTCTTGGGCCATCCTTTCGCATTCTGGGGGCTCCTGGGGGGCGTCTTGGGCCCTCCTGGAGCGCTGTGGAGGCTGCCGGAAAGGCTGGGGCAGCGGTGCCGGGAGCGTCCCCGAGATGTGGCCATATCTTTTCAGCGCGTTCCGGGAGCATCTTCCCGGAACGCGCTCGTGGCAGGGCGCCCACGTCCGAGGACGTTGGCATGGGAAACCGCAGCGCGTGATCATTCCAGCGCGTTCCGGCGAAGACCGTCCGGAACGCGCTTGGGCAAGCGCTGGGTTTGGGGAAGGCGAGTGGAGACCGTTCAGGCAGTTTGGGATGCTCGGGGCAAGAGGCGGAAGCCATCCTCATAAGACATGCAGTCTTCCTGGAGCCGTCTTGCAGAAAACACAGAAAAACTGAGACCCTGCAGTCGTTCCTGGAGCCGTCTTGGAGCCCTCTTGGGCTGCCCTGGAGCCTGTTGGAGCCCTCTGCGGAATGGTCTTGGAGCCCGCGCCGAGGATCTGGAAAATGTCCGGGAGCATCGCGGCGGCCTTCGAGGCCCGGGACGCCGAAACCGCGTAAAAGCACAGCGAAAATGAGCCCCGGTAATGGAGGGTCGGGCAGCTGTTTTCGGGCCCCTGGGCTAGAACCATCGCGCGCGCTTCGCGCGCG